CCCATCGTCTGCAAGCAGACAGCGCCTCCAGCTACTCACAGGATCCCAGCAGAAGTGGGGCGAGAGAACTGTGTCACTGCAGGGGTGAGGAAACACGGGAATGGGCACTACCCTTGGTCTCCTGGGATTCTCCACTGTCGAACTGCAGAAACCAGCAGTGCCCATTTCTGCAGTGCCCACACAGGTAGAGGACCCAATTCTCGGGGCAGGGAAGAGAGCCATGAGCCATAAGAGGAGCCAATGAGGACCTGACTGCATGGGGTCCACCTGCCAGAGGTCGAAGACCTTCAAATGCAATAGCAGCAGCACATTGACCCAAGAATCAGCAGAGGAGGTAGCTAGCCTCCATCACTACTCCATGAGACCCCACGGCCGGTTGAGACCAGGGCTGGCCCTGGGAATGGATGCCACCCTGGCCCACAGTCTGCTAGGCAGAGGCCATTTGTCAACTCATTCCTCTGGCTCTGGGCACCAACCTAGGCTCCTGAGTTTCGAGAAAGTGATAGGACATGATGCAGAGGCCACAGCTCATCAGGACATGGGTCCTCACTGTCAGCGGCTCTGCAGTGGCAATTCTGACCCCAGAAACACACACCAGTTCCAAATCTTTGAAATATTTAAGAGTAAACCACCCCAATTTTTCCATTTTATTTTTATTTGCTCTTTCCATTTTATCTCTATTTGACATTTATTCCTGTTTGTGGTATTTAAACCTGTGCAAAGTAAGTCTTTGAAGAGAGTTGACTGATTCCACAAACAAAAACCTGAGACATTCACATCTTAGATGCTGCATAAAAGACAAAGAGCTTTTTGGCATTCCAGCGTCTCAAGTACTATGCAGCACTATTTTCTCTGACAAGCCTAACTATAAAGAGACAAGGCCATTCGTTCCCTGGTGCCCATAGTCCCACCCAAGGAGCCTGAGCTTCCCCATCCTGGGGGCACCTTGCTCTCCTGTTCCTAGCTAACTTTACTACAGTTCCTTCACAACTGTCCCCCTGCACCAACTGCACAAAGCACAGAAGCATAGCTGTCTAGGATTCTATACCCAGCTAAACTAAAAAGGAACTAGACGGTAAGAAGGATGGCTTCAAAATCAAGAGGAAAGGCTCTCAGTTACGTTTCTTAGCTACCAAAAAGAATAGTTTTAACAAAACAAGGATGGATCTGAGATCACACAGGAACCCAATACAGAGCAGTACAGCAGACAAGCCCAGGTGACAGCTCTGTGCAGATCTTGGGACGTCACAACAGACTGGAGCAGGGTCTTTCAATACCACCAGCTGCGGGGGTAGACTAACACGAGGATGTAATGAAATCCAGTTTGGGTACACCAGTGACAGCAAGATCGACCCATAAGTGCATGATGGGAGCTGTTCTGCAAGTCCTTGCTCAGCTCAGTGATGGCGGCTAGTTTAAGCAAGAGGCCCCACTACAGAAAGGGGTATGGAGAGATGGCTCAGTGTTTAAGGGCTCTTGACTCAATTCCAGCACTTAATGGTCACCAACGACCACCCATAACCACAGCTTAGGGGATCTGACAGGAATGCACATGGTTCACAAACATACATGCAGGTAAAATAGTCATACACACACAAAAGTATCTTTTTTAAAATACGGGACATGGGGGAGAATGTGCAGAGAGACCTGAAGACCCCACCCACCTAGGGTGGCCCCTCTGGGGCTAGGTAAGTGGCACAGAATGCCACTGTTGAATTTAAACCCATGGGTTAGTTCCCAACAAACCGGTGTCATGGAAGGAAAACTAAGACTATGGCTCAGAGATAGATGAGTGATGTACAAAACATATGCATGTAGCATACAGTGTGTGCACATGTATGTAACTGCCTGAACAAGGAAGGGAACACATGGGGATGTCCTTATTACAAAGCTGGGACAGTGCGGTCATAAGAGAACAAGAAAAGAAAACAAAGGACAAATGACATTGAGTGGGGTCACTAACCAGGTTTGTTCCTGCCTGGAACAAGTGACTTCTCCATGGGAGAAACTGGGCACTTCTAAAAACAGTAGCCCCTGAAAATCAGACGCAAAGTGCATATTTGAGCTTGTTTACTTTGGAATTTGAAGTCTGGGGGCTTTTTTAACGATTCTGGGTTTGTTTGTTTGTTTTTTGAGGGGGTTGATTTCGTGTGTGCGTGTGTGTGTGTGTGTGTGTGTGTGTGTGTGTGTGTGTGTGTGTGTGTGTGTGTGTGTTTTGTTTTGGAGACAGGGTTTCCCTGTGTAGTCCTGGCTGTCCTGGAACTCAATGTGTAACCAGGCTGGCCTCGAACTCAGAGGTCCGCCTGCCTCTGCCTCCCCAGTGCTGGGATTAAAGGTATGTGCCACCATACCCAGAAAGATTGTTTTCTTAACTACATGTATATGCTCATGAATTCCAGAGCCTTAGGAGGCCAGAGGCATTAGTTCCTCAGGAACTCTATCTAAAGGGAGTTGTGAGCTGTCCAAGGCGGGTTCTGGAAACAACATGGGTCCTCTGCGTGAGCAGTACACAATCTCAACCACTGAGCCATCTCTCTAGCCCAGTGATTTTTGTTTTGAGCCGTCTCACTTGACCCAGGCTCCAGCATCCAACCCATCATCCTCCTGACTCAACCTCCTGAGTGCCGGGGTTACAGGCTACTACTGAGCAGACTTCTGGAGACTGTTGTTTCACTGGCCTGCTGAAGGAGTAGGAGCCCCACCTCCCTAAAGAGAAAGAACCAATGGACACTGCACCCTCTTATAACTGGGCGTGCATCCAGAAACACTTCCACAGGGCAGTGCCACCACAAACTACTGCAGTCCTTGGTGGGTGGGACCCTTGGGTAGATCCCTGGGTCCCACCCTGGGGAAGATGCAGGACACAGCTGTTCTTCAGTGAGAAGGGGCAAACATACCAGGAGCTTTGCAGATGTAAACTGAGAACTTTGGATCTCCTGGCAACCCTCAATGTCCTCAAAGACCAAGGCAGAGGGAGGCTTACAATAGAGGAGGTCACATGATGCTGGAACCAAGCCCTGAGCCCAGGGATGAGATGAGGGTCCACCTGACATGAGAAGTTAGGAGATTCTCCCTGAGCCCCGGAGGACACGTGGCCAGTGAGACTTCTGGCATCCAGAACCATGAAGAATAAACTGTTGTTTTAAGCCACTAAATTCAAGTCTCTGCAACAGCTCAATACGAAACTAAAGCAAGTGCTGACTAGTAAGTAAATGTTTGCAAGGTTTCCAGCAAACTCTAACTCTCTCTCTCTCTCTCTCTCTCTCTCTCTCTCTCACTCTCTCTCTCTCTCTCTCTCTCTCACACACACACACACACACACACACACACACACACACACACACACACCACCGTTAAGGGCCCTCGGCCACCCCATACCATCATGGTGCACTTGCTGCCAAAGCAAGGCAGGGAGCCCACAAGTAAGGCATCACTCTGCCTTGGCCAGATGGGACCTGCATGCTGGCTCTGTCTCAGATACAGATGTCAAATGGCAACAGGATTAGAAATACAGGGCTCAGCCTCAACCTCTCCCACTTCTGGGATCCTCAAAGGACCTACTGCAGCAGCCGGTTCATCAGGCTCAATATCGCCTCTGTGACCACCCACCATCATTCCATCCTTTTGAGGTTGCTGTTCTAAACATAAGGCAAAACGTGAGCCAGTCCTTGACCCTGGGCCCCTCCTGTGTGCCACGTAGAACCACAAAGTGCCTCCCATCACAAGCTGGCACTCAGTGATGCACTGCAATTAGGTCCTCTCAGTATGGACCCTTGCCTTCGCCTGACTCCTGCAAAGCCTGGAACACACATGCCACCCCAAGTCTGAGGGCCTTTCCTCAGCTCTGCTATTTGCTGGCCTCCTCTGCCAGCTCTCCAGCCTCTCCCTCTCCTCTTCACTGTCAGAGGCAACCTTCCTTCTGAGTCCCCTTGAGGGTACGTTCCAAGAAGCTTCACAGAAATGGCCTTGCATCTTTTAAAGACCCAGATTCCTGGGTACCTGTTCCCTGTCTTCATCATTGCAAGGTCCTACCCCAGAGCCTTACCTAAGCCATGCCCCTCTACCCCCATGAGTTTCCCTGTCTCAACAGTGTCCCTGAAGCCCCAAATAAAAAAGGTGTAACATTTTTATTCCAGTCTTTCTGCAGAAGAAACTTCACACCGACAAGTGTGCTTCCTTCAGAAACTTTTAAAACTTAAGCACAATCCCTTGATTCATAATTGATTTTGCTCCTCTCCCCACCCCACCCCCACACACACACCAGTTGCTTACTGTAGGCTCAAGGCTTTACTCCCAGGATGACTTCCCTTGTACCAGCTTTCCCTCTATCTACACTCCATGGATCTGAGCCCATTCCAGGAGCCTGGGCCCCTCCATTTGTATTCTATGGGTCAGAGCCTCTCTGTCTACACTCCAGGGGTCTGAGCCCCCCCATCTACATTCCATAGCTGAGTCCCCTGTCTACAATTCACAGTTCTGCATCCTGGTCATTACTCCACAGGTCTGGGGCCCCCTGTCTACCCTCCACGGGTGTGAGCCCCTCCGTGTACACTCGACAGCTCTGAGGCCCCTTGTCTATACTCCACAGCTCTAGCCCCTCTGTCTATACTCCATAATCCTCGCTGTGGGCTGCCCTGCGTTCTTGCCCTACATTTCCTCAGTTCGGGTCCCTTGGAAACGGTCTCTGCCCAAACAATGCACCCGTGGGCTGAGTTGGACATTAAATCCCCCTCACTGCCGGCCGGGCCCGCTTCTGAGCCGGGTCAGATCCCACCCGGGTCCTGTGGGCTGAGGCCCGTGCAGAACCTGCACATCGGGCCTGTGTGGGACCCCGGCCGCCGGCCGCGCGAGCAAGTTCCCGGAGTCCCGCGCGAACAAAGAAGGCGCGGGCGGCGCCCGAACTCGGCCCCACCGCCGCAGGCCGACTAGCCCGGGCCGTGCGGGGGCGCGCGCCAGGGAAGAAAGACGCGCGAGGAGGCGCGCCGGCCCCGCTCACCTACCGGGCCGCCGCTTGCTCCCGCCGGGCGCCCGCCGAAAGCACCAACGGTCACCGCCGTCGCCGGGCCGGGGGCGGGGCTCCGGGAGGGGCGGGGTCCGACCCCCGATAGCGGAGCTCCTGCTCCTGGGGGCGGAACCCAGTCATTGTAGGGCGGGACCCAGGGTCTAGGGGGCGGGGCTCGGTGAGGGGCGGGTCAGGCCGTTGTGGACTCCGGGACTCGGACCCGCGAGGGCCAGCTTTTGGGGGCGTGGCTCAGGGAAGGGCGGGGTCCAACCAATTTGGAGGGTGGGACGCAGTGTCTTGGGGGCGGGGTTCACTCTGGATCCTACGGGCTCAGGGTTTTGGAGGATGCCGGGGTTTGGGGGACGGGGGTTTGATGAGGAGGCGGGTCAGGGACCGACAGGGTCCCGCTTCTGGGGGCGCGGCTCCTGGTAGGACAGGGTCCGGCTATTGGACAGCCGCTCGGGGGGAAAGACGGCTCCCAGGACAGGGGTGCTCAGGAAGTAGGGACGTGCCCGGGAAATAAGACCTAACGGAAAGCACAACCTCCTAGGCAAAGGGATAGGCAGGGGCAGGGCGGGGCCTGCAGGCCGGGGCGGGACTTCCGCCCGGTGGAGGCGGTTTTGGTCTAGCTGTGGGGCTGAATTGCCCCACCGAGCCGCAAACGCCTGAAAGGTTTCTTTTTGAGTGGCTCCGGAGGGCTGGAAAGTGTGGTCTCCTTCGCGTGTAGAGAAAGGTGATCACTTCGTCCTCCTTCAGGGGACGGGGCTGAGACCCGATGTACTTGGGAGGGGTGGGAGGGGAGTTACCCACCTGCCACGAGAAGGGTGATCCGCCTGAGAGGTGTACGTTTACGATAGAGGTGTGTACCTTCCCTGCTCCAAGCACGCCCGGGCTATAATGCAGTAGTTGTACAAAGTGGTTTTCTAGCTCCCTCGCCCAACCTTTCCAGAAACGCTGGGCCTTGTCTACCCCAAGGAGACCTTGCTTCGAGGAAAGATGACGAAGGCCGGATTCCCCTTCCCTTCTCAAGTTGGCTTCCTAGCAACCACAGCTTCTTCGGAAGTTTCATTCCGAGTTAGTCAGTGACTAGCTAAAGTACTTTCAGAAAACAGGCCACTGGACGTTTTACTGGAAAATCTAAATGTTAAGAAAAAAGTCCAATCCAGGAACTCACTGGCTGGACTCTGTTTTTCTCAAACACTACCCCAACCTGGCTCGAGCTTCTTGGACTTGAGATTAAATCATCATGAAAAACCCACAGCAATAACCTTCAACATTCACTTCCTTAAATCAGGAAATGTAAGTCATGACTGGTAGTCCCTTCAGGGCTCCCAGAAGGACAGCAAACCGCTGGGTTTCTGGTCAGTGTGCAGCTTCAGGTTGCTGCGTAGGTAGACACATCGGTTGTCAATGTGTCCTCCTGGGTAGGAAGCCCCAGGGCACTGGGCCAGCGGGAATAGCATAGACCCTGTTTCTGTGCATGCGGCACCACCGCACACCTTTCTCTCGCCTTGGCCTCACCCACCTCCTTCAACCTCCTCAGCCAGAATCTCTCTGCCCTTTCCTTCTTGGTCCTGCTTCCTCCTCTCCTCTCTTTTCCCCTTTAAACGTTCATTGCTGATCCATTCTCCAGGCTGCAGCCAACCCCGCTACTCAGCACAGCCCCATCCTCTCCTGTGGTCACTGCTCTTTCTGCCCTCTCCCCTATGCCATGGCTACTCTGTCCTTGCTTTCAGCCCTAGAGATGCTGACAGTCCTTCTGTAGCCTGTAACCCTGACCATCTGCTCCCGGGCAGAACTTCAGCCATGTAAGACCTAATATTGAATAAGCTGTCCTGAAAGTACAGAGGAGGAGGTAGGGAGAAGGCAAGGCGCCTCTGCTCCGCGACCAGGCCAGAAGGAAGCGGGCCACAGGGCCCTGACTCCCAGAGCTGTGGGTGGGGCTGAGAAGAATAGAGAGCAGCCAGCAGAGAAGCTGTGAAGGATGTCCAGCACAGGGGACACTGGACTGGCCTCCACATGCCTTATAGACTTGGGGTAGGAGCAAGGAGGAGAGCTTAAGGAACAGTCCCCAAGACTGTCCCAGGCCCTGGGTCCTCAGGCTGATGGAGAAGCTGTTTACAGTGTGGAAACTCTACTCCTCCAGCCGGGGATGAGCAGACCATGTTCAGCCCATGTTCTGTTCCTTCACTGCCTTAGGTTGCCATCTCTCTGATTTGGGTAGTGCCCTCCCTTACAAGGGCAAGCATGCAGAGCCCAAGACAGCCAGAAATCAGTCACCTGTCTGAATCATCAGGCAGGGAGTTCAGAGGTGGGTCCAGCGTGAGGAGCCACATGAGGAGCCCAAGCTGGACAGCTTTACGTTTTGGAAGATGGGGAAGTTCTAAAGATGGACAGGGAGATGGCTGCACAGGGTACATGTGTTTGATGCCAATGAACTGGTGATGGTGGTGTTGACATGGAAACCACATGGAGGTTCCTCAAAACATTAAAAATATAAGCGTGTCATCTAGCGGTCCCACTACTGGTGTGTATCCAGAGGAAATGAGGTTAGCATGTCAGTCAGCTGCACCCCATGCTCACTGCGTCACTGTTCACAACAGCCAGGACATGGAACCCACCTAAAGCACGGGAGTAAAGAAATGGTGGGATACAATAGCACTCTATGCAGCCTTGAAAATGATCTAGAGGACATCATGCTGAGTAATAAGAGACCTAGAAAGGCAAATACACGTGCCTGCAGCTTTGGTCTGCCCTCCTGGGGCCTCCCATAACTTACTTGGCTATGGGGTGAAAGCATGGAGACTTGGCTTGGGGTGCCTGAAACGCTCCCCTTCCAGAACAGAGCTGTGACCCTTGCATTGGGGAAAACCTTCCCCTGGAGCAGAGCTGTAACACTTTCACTGGGGAAACTCTCCCCTAGAGGAGCAGAGCTACAACACTTACATTTGGTTCCGTGACTCCGATAGGCTCTTCTGGTGCCTCTGCGCCCCTCAGGGTCTGAGCCACACTGGACCCTATCCCTCATCTATGTTCCACCCACAACAAACTCACCTTTGGTTCGCCAGTCATTTGGCAGCCCATCCACCAGCTGCAATTAGGTAAGTTTACCCTTTGGTAGGTGTAGACATTTCCCCGAGTCTGCGGAAGTGACCGTGGCACCCCTCTGGTATTCTTGGAGGCTGAGGTATCCCCAGCCAAGGTCTTTAAGGCTACAACTAGCCCTCTTCACCTGACGCCATCTCCTACCCTTGGCGCTGCAATCCTGCAGTTTCCTTAGGCCCAATCAGGCTATTGCCCCTTCCTGCCCCCTTCTCCCTTCTTCCCTTCGGGGCTGCCACAGCTCCTCTAGGCCCTTGTGGCTTTTGTGACTGTGGATGAGACATACCACCCCCTCCAGCTTGCTTTTTCTCCTCATCTTCTGGCCTCTATGAAAGTCCCGGTACCAGGCGCCGAGTCTCTCCCCTGGCTTAGCCAGGCTAAGGCCCTGACCCCCATTGAGTGGAGTGATGACCGGCTGAACAGCTTGGTCCTCGTTCGTTCATTCCTCCCTGAGTCCTAGGGACACCTACGACTACAGGCTGTGGTGACATTTCCCTTCTCCTCTCTCATCCATGGGGACGGTGTCTCCCATACCCTCCATTCCCCCTTGGGCTGCCTCTTAGAAAAGCCTCCAGCCTCCACACCTGGCACCAAACCTGAGGGGCCCTAAGTTGATTTGCCTTTCCAATCAAATTTGGCCTCAATACCCCTTAGATAATTAATCCAAATGGCTATGTAATGGCACCCTGATCCCAATATTATTCGGGACCTGTACAACTACTGTGAGTGATGAGGGAAATGGAAGAGATTCCCTATGTCCAAGCTTTCTCTCACCTCCACTCTCTGTACTTTCTCTTCCCCTACTCAGCTCCTAGCTATGATGTCAGGGTCAGGATGTCTTTCTTTGGCCCTGGTCTTGAGGTCAAGTTAGGGTCAGGGTGTTCTTTCCCTGGGCCTTTTACCATACACTGTCCAGGTGTCCAGCCGCCCCCTGACCTTCCGCCAGGCCCCTCTGCTCTGCCGAAGATGCTGCTCCACCTCTTGGCCACCCTTTTACGTGTCATCCGCCCACCTGTATAGGCTCAGCTCTGGGGTTGTCCTCTGGAATCAGCTCTCAGCCCCACCCCACCCATAACCCTCCTGGGCACCCACCAGACTGTATGCCTGTCACTGAAGGTCACATGGGGAAGGCAGCTATGCAGTACTGCCCCCACAAAGCCCCCCACGCACAAATACCCAGACCTCGACTATCAAATGCTTTTGAACATTCACCAACGCTGGGCAACAGTTAGGCCGTGGGGATACCATGTCCATACAGGCAAGCATAAGGCTTGAGGAGCTGCCAGTGGCTGGCCCAGCAGGTGTGATTGCCATCCATGGTCCTGGCAGAGCCCTTGGCTGGAGACGAGGGACGAAAGTTGGAGCCTTAGCACTAAACCGGGGAGCAGATTTGAAAGCAAGTAGAGAGGCCACCCCATGAAAGACAGCCAAAGGTTTGCTTGGGACTTAGCGACTTTGAAGACAGAGAGGAGACATAAGGAACTTCGAGAACAGTAGCTGAGAACCCCCAGTCCGGCTGAGGTGCACCCCCTGCCAAATGCCTCCCAACCATATAGTTGATTGAACCCCCTTGCCTTTCCTACCCTGTCCGCACCTGAAATGCCAGCTCTAAGAGCTCAGCCCCTCCCTCTGGAAAGCCCTTCATGGGGAGCACCCCTCCTCCACGGTCTGTCGGCACCACCAGCTGCACCCTGTGTTACAGAATGCATGAGGAGTAGACAGATGAAATACATTAAATGAAGCATAATGTTTCTCAGCAGAACACACGAAAGAAATTAAATAGGACATACTGTTACTAAATAGAGCCTGTGTTAATTAGAAAGACTGTTACCAAATAGAAGATGCATCAATTAATAGACCATATTGTTGCTGAGCAGAACATAGAATCATTAACTACACCAGACTGCTCCTGCGTGGAGCTTTCTATTTCTCTTCGTTCTCAGCAGGACTGGGGAATTGGGGACAGGGAGCTCCTATAGGTACAGAGAGGCCCGGGGCAGTTTCACAAAGCCGAAAAGGGCTTTGCTGCAC